GACTAGTGTTGTCCGAAAGCTCTGGTTCTAGTGTTGGCTGTTTACTTACGTTTACTTTTTAGCTGTTGCTTATCATTTTTGTATCTCTACTGAGATCCAGCCATTGTTTCCCACAGCATTGTTGTTTTCCAGTATTTTGCCTTTTAATCTATATATCTATATATCTATATATCTATATATCTATATATCTATATATCTATCTATATATCTATATATATATCTATATATATATATATATATATATATTCCTTGTAGTGTCCTTGTGAGTGTTGCAGAAAGCTGAACCGGCTTTAGCATATACATTATTTAATTATAGCTGGTTTTGTACACTGTAATTTTTTTTTTGTATGTACAGTGATCTTCAAAACAGATGTGCTAAATATGAGAGAAACTCTTATCAAAGACCTTAAAAACTAGTTTATAACATCGTTGGTTCTTATTATCTGGTAGCTCATGAGCTGTAATCCAAATGAACAAGCCAGTTACACTGCTGTCTCCGCAGCTAGCAGACTTGCCACAAGTCCCTTTCTTGTTCTCTAATTCTGGATAAAGCCACCGTACAAGTAACTTAATTTAGAGACAATAAATCTAGAATGGGAGGCCAAGCATATTATTTGGTATAGCCTGCACTAAAGATGAGTAACCCACATTTAGGGACTGGAATTAAGGCTACTAGGTATCGTGTGTGTCACTGGCAGCTGTCTTGGATATGGCAAGCCACATTTCAAAAAGGCAAGCGCTAGATTGATAATAATAGCCAACAACAAATGGGCCGGTAATTCTTTTGATAGCATCCCAGTGAGTTTTAAACATTAATTTTTCCGTTGTATCAAGATTGAGAGAGAATTTCCAGTCAACCAAAGCAATAATACAAAACCCAACGTTAAGAAAGAAATAGAATAGTACAACTTGGGAAAACAAATTTGGTTTCTCTATCGTAAACGACCTTAAACGTAACACTTTCAGTAGGAAAAGTGTTTGCATAATCAACACCACATTGCTTAAGAAGTCTGATATAATTTCTATAGTAAGTATGCCCTTGTTTGGGTCATCATGCTCTTTGAGTATAATTAAACTTAGAGTGGCGTAAACTCTCTGAAAACAATAAGTCATAAACAACATAAGGAGAATTAATTCTTCTGAATTGTATGACGAAACAGACATAGTTGAGATGTTCGTGTCACTTTTCTTAATTCTTATATAAAGAATTATAGAACACGTTAGCATACTAGCATCAAGGAGGATGCGCAACGTTGCATAATTATAATCAACACGAATGAATTTTTTCTGTAAAACGAAATTATACGTCAGTAACATTGAAAATATTGTAAAACTCAAAACAATGCTTCCAAACATTAGGCCGGTCTTACAGCTCTTGTGCAAGGAAAAGTTCCTTCTTATATTTTGATTGATGACGGGGTCAACGTTTTGACCGATGTTCTTCCACATCATAAACAAAATTGCCGTCGATATGAAAATATACTGCATGTTGCACACATCCGTCAGAATTTTAACTTCTTTAGTAGCGCTACCAAGCTCTGGAATGGTAAAGATAGTACCTTACCTTACATTCTTAGAATAATATCAAAGAGTATAAATAGAACAAGAGAGCAAAGTCCCGTTCGTAAAAACGTCATGCCTGTGTAGGACGCCAACTAACGGTTGTATATTCTTTTTATTACCCAGTGCAGCGCTGCGCAGCGCGGTAGTAGATGTGTATAAGAGACAGCTCCCAATGAGCGTTGTTGGCTCTCTTGTTCTATTTATACTCTTTGATAATATCTATGCTTCATAAATTAATTCTCTTTATTAAATCGCAAACAGTCGGTGCGGAGGATTCACGCGCACCGGCTAGCTGGTGGCGGCACTCCACTAAAGACAAAAACAATTTGTATGAAGGTGAGGCTACTTACCTTCATAATGTTGAAATGTTTTAGTACTAAACTATTCTCAAGTTATAAATTTCATATATTTGATCCAGTTAATAAATAAATTAATATATAACAGCATAATTGAAAAAAATTGTCTCAGACAACAGGCATTGTTGCACGAGCCCCTAAAATATTTTGATAACTCATGTTTGCTTTACCCGTGCAGTTTGCAATGCAAGAATAACCTTTCATCTCCGTAATGTAGAAGTTCTTGTACAACCACAAGCTTATACCGGTCACTATGAGGTGCATAAACCCAAATCTAGGGAGTCAAATTCATAAATATTAATCATAGTTGTAATAAAAAAAAAAGACATAAAAAAAGACATTCTGTTTTTTGAACAACACACTTTCAAGCGCCGATAATAATTTACATTGTTAGATATTAGCCAGGCTCCGGAGGAAAAAAAAATATGTTGTACATCTAATTTTTCTAATGTGGAAAAGGGAGGGTTACGCCCCTTTCCCCCAGTTTTAAACATTCAAAAATCTTTATCTTATTAACCGCTCCCGAGTTTTTGATATAATATGCTTTCTGTGTCTAAATGTTGGTCTGTACAAAAAAACCTCGAAAAGAAACCTATAGATGGGCTTCTTTTTTAGGTCTTTGAAAGATGGGCTTCTTTTGTTGGGTTAACCTCACTGGGCATAAATTGCCGATAAACGGTGCGATGTTGGTTTTTTTGTTCGGTTAGGTTTCAAGTGTTCTGTGAGTTTAGGTTCATGGCTTGTGTTTTTATTTTTGTACGTTCCCTTTCGTTGTTGTCAAGCGCCTCGAGGTTGGCTTCAACAGGAGGCGCTTTACAAATCGCAAACAATAATAATAATAATAATAATAATAATAATAATAATAATAATAAAATAATAATAATAATTTATTATAATAAATTATAATTTATTTTATCATTATTATTATTATTATTATTATTATTATTATTATTATTATTCCAAAGCACAAATAAAGAATAAAATTAAGTTTTATATTGACTGGGGAACCAACATGAACACCGGTAAAATGAAGAAAATCTTGAAGAAATGGGGCAGGTAGTCACATTATAATCTTTCTTTTTAATTTTTTTTTTACAATACCTTCTAAATAAGTGCGTTCGCTGGACACAGATATTTGAAAAATTTATGATGTAGGCAATCTCAGTTATGACAAAGACAATCGCGACGGCATCAGAGGTTCCCGGGTACAGGCTCTCTGAGCTACAGCATGTATATGTATGCAGAATGGTGATAGCATAGCTAAGAGATCCGATGAAACCAAAAACCACAATACCAGCTGAAATAATAAATAGAAATAGGCTGTAGGCATGTGTGATGTATAAAGGCAGGCTGGAGGTGAATTCAAAGGGAGCAGTTGCAGCGCAGCGTAAGAAATTCCCCGACGAAGGGACTAATTTCTCATACAAATTTCCCACCCTTTTGCATTAAAATATAAAAATAGGCACCATTATTAGATGCCCGGATGTACTCTCTCGGGACTGAATAGAATAATGCATGTTCCCCGACGAAACAATTCGCTCCTTTTTCCAGATGTGAAATCCAGGTTCCCTGGTACGGGGTTCTGTGTCCCTTAGGTGACCTCGCTGGCGCTGTCACTGAAATGGAAGATGGGATCAAGTATAGGCCTACAAGTTGGTCACCGGATTCCATCTGTGCGATACCATTCTAAAAATGGTGTTATGAAATGTGTGTTGCATGGTTAATGCCGGGTAACAGTTTTTATATCCTTGTATTGCCGTTTATTACTTAGTATTTATTGGCTGTTTTATGTGTAATTATATGTCTGCGTAGGCCCTGATTTCAGTGTTTAATTTTAGTTATAATTATTGATTATGTCTGTAATTATGTGACTGTGACTGAGTCAAGTAGACTGGTCTCCCTTGGGGCCTGGGTACAGCAGATTAAAAAGTAAAACATATTGAAAAAAATATTTAAATTAAAATAATTTTGTGTATTTAAAGTAAATTCTTTTATCAGCTATTTTTGGTAACCATAGTGATCTAATTAGTATGTGTGATGTACGGTACCATAGAAAATAAAACTTAAAAACATTGTGTTTGATGTATTTACTTTACCTACATCAAAACTGTCCACACGCATCTCAAACGCGTCCACACGCAACTCATTCCCACCTGTGCTGCGGCTGAGGTGGTAAATTTGGGGAAATTGTACCTCTAAATTGCCGGATACACTCTTATGTAGTAAAATTCATCATCATTAATCTAATTAAACGCTGTGATGTACCGGTACCATAGAAATAAAACTTTATTTTCTTCGATGTATTTACTTTACTTTATCTAATTCATGTACCGAAAACCAATCTTTTCTTTGCACGCTTTTTCTTATACTTCTCAAATTATAATAAAGGCACGCGCATTCGAGTCGCGTATTTTAGGTAATTCAGATGTTTGTGAGATACCAGCATCTTGCTGTAAGATAAGATGTACTCTGGCTGTAGAGCGCTCTCTCGTTAACCTAGGTCATTTATGCAGTTTATTTTAACAATTTTCTGGCATATCCTCTTGACTCACGAAATGTGAGGGTTTGTCCCCCTTCCTCATGATCTGCTTCCACTGGTGCGTGAGAGTCCACATTACCTCAGCCCTAACATGATTGGGACCTTCTGAACCTCCCTGCATCCGCCCCAGGGTTCCCTTTAATTTTAAAAAACATACTGTACATTTTAATTTAAAGTCTGAGCTCATGCAGGTGTTACTTCCGGCTACAGTGGTGCTTTAGCCATAGAATTAAATTTCTCAGCCCCATTCATGGTACGTGGAACTGAGATGGTCTGGACCGCCTGTAAAAATCAGCTAAGGATTGTGATGAATATATTGACCTAAATTTACACAGTACATAGTGTGCTGTACTTACCTTTAAAATATTTGCTACTAATAAAAATGCTGCAGTTATCACGTGGCTCAATGGTTCTACGATAAAGCGTGTCTGCAAACATCCACAAAATTCCAATTGTCGACAAAAATATTGAAAAAACATTTAAAGATTTGTCGCTCACATGGTTTTCGTTTGATTTTTTATGGTGGTAGGTACCATTGTTGTAGGTATCAAGGTGGTAGACGTAATTTCCGGTCAACAAAACCACTAGAAGCAACACCAAAATCATTCCATAGATACCACTGAGTAGGGCGTGTAGCTTGAAGCTGAAAAAGATGGTCGAAATTCTCTGCACAATTTACATAATCTACAGAGATATATAAGGGAACTGCATAATGTTGAAAAAAGATCAAGACCTATACTTCTACTATCAGCCAATAAGCCACTTTTCCTAATGTAAATAATACAACAATAATCATATTAATAACAATGTAGATATAATAAAAATTAAATAATATTAATGACAACAACAACAATGATAAATATAATGATAATAATAGTAACAACTCCATTTATGTTAATACATCATTATTATTATTGTTTTAACTGGTAGTCATGTCCTAAAGTTTGTTTTATACAAACTTATTTTTACCTCCTACCGCACACTTTTTTCTCTCTGATTTTATGTAGAAAGATGTAATCTTTAATGTTTACTGTTTAATTAATTTATATGTTGTGTGTGGTAAAAACAATAAAAACAAACACAAATGGTGGTAATATTTATAATGATAAACGTCCTGTATTAATAATATATATATATAGTATTAAATAATACACTAGAAGTCGATAGTCATTTTTGTCTACTTTGTACCTGCTCATTAGCGGTATCTGTCGTCTCATAGGAGGAGTTATAAGTGGTATTCTTTCTTCATCCGCAGTGCTTTCATCGTCATCGCTTAGACATTTACTACGTTTTGTTAGATATGAAGCCATTCTTGATTATTATTACCTGTAATTGAATATTGGCGGTTAGGAATGTAAAGTAGAAAAATTCAAATTCTTACTGCGATCTTACCGACCTGCGGTCGTATCCGACTGGAAGTAGGACCTGCCGTCGTGTCATTTATTGATGGAAAGTAATAATGACCACTTTATAGCCAAATGATTACGACACGTGTGAGAGCGACTACGATCAGACTGGCGACCAGTACTGACCACAATAATATTTTAACATGTTGAAAACTCCGCGACCATCCACGAACTCTCCCTTGTCACGAGCAAGTTACACTATCACGACCTGGCCACGACGGTGTCGGTCGTAGTGTAGGTCGTGATAGTGCGAGAATAGCTTAACCGACCGCGCCATTCATGCGACGTGCCGTAGTTGTATGGCAATAATGTACAGTAATTTTTAAATAATTAGACTGTTTATTTGTATTATTTAGAATGATCATTTGTTCCAAGTTAAAATATTTAAAATTGAAAAGAAAAATAAAATTCTTAAAATTGGGAAAAAAAAAAAAAAAAAAAAAAAATGAATACCAAGACGCACTTTGAACTCACGATTCACGGTTCTTTAGAACACATCCTTAACCGAAGGTCGCGGGTTCGAATCGCTCCTCGGTGTTAATTTTCCTTTTTAATGAGAACTCTTTAACAAAATGAAAAATAAATAAAATACGCGATTCAAACTTGCTAAATACGCGAACAGATCCTCAACCGACCGCGTCATTCATGCGATGCACACTATTACGGTAGGGGTAAGTGTAATGTACAGTCCTTGCTGAAACTCCTGTTTTGTTTTGTAGGTGTATAACGGGAACCCTGGGGTCCAACTTAAAGAAAGGGCGATGAACGTTTGTTTGAAATCCCCAGCTCTAGTTTATGTACGTGTACAAAATTTCCTGCACGTCCGTTCAAAGCGGGCGACGTTGGACGCTTTTAAAGTTTGAAACCCCTGTTTTGTTTTGTAGGTGTAGGGGGAAACATGGGGTCCAACTTTAAAAAGGGCGATGAACGTTTGTTGGAAATCACCTCTAGTTTATGTTTCATGCCGTAAGGTATGAATAGTACGATGACAAATACGCATTAGCTAAACTTAACAAGATAATGAACGACACATCTCATCCACTACACAATGAATTTACTTTAAACAACTCAGGCTTCCGTCTAAAAGACTAAATGTACAACTCACCACACGTTGCCGTTATATAGAAACTCCTTTGTTCCCAACATTCATAATAATAATAATGTTAACAGATAATTGTGGTTTTAAGTGAAATTTTGACCTAATTTAATTAGGTTTAATGTGTAATATTGAACAATGTTTTATATTCTTTTTGTTAAGATAGCCTATTGTTTGGTGCTCATAGTTTCATATCCTTGTCATCTTTTATACTTATTACTGTATATGTTCTTAACACTTGTAACACTGCAAGTGGAACGCAATTTTATGGGTTTTTCAGACGATAAAATTATCTTGAACCTTGAATTTTTTATACTGGTTGTACAGTAGCAAAGAATAGGCTAGGCCTGGATCTGGTCGTGGCTTGAACTCAGCGCGAGAGATGTTGCGTGCATGGCGTCGTCGTCGCGCTCGGTTCTCAAAATTTCGGTCGGTCGCGGAGGGCAACACAACATATGTCTACGCATACACAAGCTATACTTAGGTTATTACACAACATTGCATTCTGCATTTTTTTCCCTCATGACCATCTGAAAATGATTTAAGATATTATAAAAATGTCTATAATGATTATGATAATGGTGATTAATGATCATGATTAAAATATTAGGGTTATAATGATCTCATTAATTTCATTCAAATTATCCATACTTTTAAGGTACACACATACGTAAAAAACATAACAGTTTCAAATGTGTGGATGGAAGTCTGCTGTGTGTGTGTGTGTGTGTGTGTGTGCTGTCTCTTATACACATCTAGATGTGTATAAGAGACAGATATATATATATATAACAGACGAGTTTTAGGCACGAATAAAGTACAATAAGTTAAAGCGAAAAAATGTAATCAATAAAAACTGATTTAAAGCCCCGGTGCCAGCCAACATTTCCAATTTCAAATTATATGGAATTGAAAACAAAATAGACAATTTAATCTTTAAAACTAATTTATATGATGATATCAGAGGCCTTCTACCTGAAATTATCACAATGAGAACACAATAACCTGTTAGTAAATTGAATACCGAATACTATCCTACCTTTGAGATCTATTGTAAGTTGACTGAAGAATGGTAATATTGTACTGTATAAAGGGATTCAGAAGAACACCAATTCAAAAGCGTGATGTCATGCAACTTACTGGCAGACTATTTGAAACAAATTTTGCATAATTTACAGAATTCTTGATAATTATCCACGACCTCCACACACCGTAGGCAATTCAAATACAATCGTCAGGTTGGTCAAACAGGAAACAAACATCCATTGAAACCGATACTTCTTGCACGATGGTTAACAACTTGCATATATTTAGAAACAATCATAAAAGAGAAGTAATGAAAACTTGAACTAAACAAATTCTAATTAAAAGTAACATACATCATCATCAAAACTAATGTTGAATTTATGGTGCAAATGTTTATTTTTCTGATTGTCATCCGCTCAGTAAGTAAGTAGCCGGCAACATTAAAATATGTTTAGTTTCTCTATCCTCTGGTTTTGCATTAACCGCTCATAATGAAATCAGAAAGTAGTTGGTAATTAATGGTATTTTATTGATTTTCGCAATGACTTAACAATGCTTACATTTCAGTTTATCACGGTTTTCAGAACTCTTAAAAGATGCCGCTTTACATTCATATCATATTTATTTACAGATTATTGTTGAAATAATTCCATACATAATAATTATAGCCACGACCTATAACACATATAATTTTGAGTGTTTGTTAATATTTACCACAAAAAAAAAAATCATCACAGTTCTCCGTTAGAACGTGTAGCTATATGTACAAATGAATTTAAAAAGTCTGATGCATGGTTCATTACTACAGTATATGCGTATTTGAGATTTTACAAACATTAAATCCCAGAATAACGTCGTGCTTTCGTTTTAGAAAATACTGGCAGCCAATATGTTGAGCACATCGCAGAATGGTGACTTTAATACGGACATTGTATACTATGAACACGTAAGCCTTTTCATTCACCAATACAAATTTACATAATAAATTGGAGTCATATAATATTGTACAAATTCAAAAATATACATTGTTTATTGAATGGTGCTATAGGTGGTGGTTGAGATGTCTGCCTTCAAAACTGGATTTGTCTAATGACGAGATTTAGTTTAAAAAGCAACACATTATTCAGTCACAGTTTGATATGAATAGAAATTATAAATAAATACTGTACATTAAAAATGAATTTGTGCATTTTAGCACAGTCAGTGAGTTTCCATACAAACACAGGTACACAGCCTTGAATATCAGATTGGTAGAGCACCAGTATGATATACAGTATTAAATAATACAAACAAGGATATAAAGAAACTTATGCAAAATCAAATAATACAACAAACATCAAGAGTTTTTAAATAGTATAAAAAATAATTTACAATATATATATTATTGAATTTGCTTGCGTATTTTCACATTCAAGTTAAAATGTAATCACTAAAACACAGTTAAAATGAATTGGTTTTAAAAGGTTACTTTACAAATACCATAAAACGATTTTACATTATATCCTCTTAAAGATTTATAGATAAGTCAAACAGTGGATACTTTCAATACTGTATTTTATCAATAACGATTTCACATTTGTTTTCCTTTTACCCTGTGATAATGGTGTTTCTGCATTTACATATCTTAGGCCTATTATACTATATCATATCTGATGTCTACAACCACAATGTTATTTAAACTTACTCCAACATTTCGTCGATGTTATCAACGTGACTCATCTGTTGTTGATAACATCTACAAAAGCTCACAGTAAGTTTACATGCATTGTGCTTGGTTTAATATTGATAAAATTATAATTACACAACATACATTATAAAATAATTCTATAAAATGGAACATACAATTATAAATGCACCAGAATGTGCGTCAATAGGTTACAAATAATATCTGAACAGACACATCAACAAATCTGACACAGACATACATACTCACAAAGGATTTGATAACATAATACAATATTTGTGTACAGTAAAACTTAAGTTTTTTTAAAGCAATAATGATTGGCCATCATTTTTTTTTGGTAATAAAAATAGTTTTGTACACCTCGAATTAGTATAGCAAACCTTTTTAAAACTTTTTTTGATTTGTTATTCATAAAATACTGTAAAAAGTATAGTAGCACCCATACTGATGATATCGAGTTTTAAGAAGTAAATGATGTTTTTTCATTTTGGCGAGAGTGGTAGAAGTCTTAAGTATTTATCAATAATACTGTTGGCATATTGTTGGTCACTTGGACTTAAACCAACTTTATGTTTATACACTTTGGCTGGTAATGAACTAACAGGTGAATGATTTTTAATAGTTAGGCCAGATCCAGATGAATTGATTATTTCTTCTGCCATTATTTCCTCCACTCCCCTGACTTGTGTTGGCTTAACTCCTGACTCCTCTGATATATTTGGAAGACACTCCACATAGACACCAGTTGACTTCATTTCTACATGATTTGCAGATCTTTCTGAGTAATTATCCTTGGATGTACTGGCACATGGTGATTCCTTGTGTAAACTGCTGTCAGTATCTGAGAAAAGTTCAGGAAAAGCTTTGACGAAATTTTGTGGTGTGATACTGAGTTTATCATTTGAGTTGATACTTTTTGGTGATGTGTCATGAAGTCTCTCTGGATCTTCTATCTGATCAGGAAGTTCCTTGAACTCGTCATCAGTGGCATCACTCCCATCTGATAAGTTAGTAATTAATCTCTTTACATCGCTAAATACTGGAAGGCTAGATGGAAAAGGAAATACTGGTGGAGACTTTGGAGTGGAAGAGTTTGTGAAATATGTAGTGGAAGTCACGGCAGTTGAGGTAACTGGAGTATTCTTCAGAAGGTGAGAAGTTCCCAAAGCAAGTCTTGGAGAATTAACATTCAAGGTGTCTTGTGTGAGAGTTGTTTCACCATCTATGTCTTCAACACCTGTCTTTACACTTAAGCACCTACACTGATCATCTTTAAATGTATCATCAAAGACATCTTCTTTTGAAGGTTTCTGTTCTATGGATGACCCAGTAGCTGAGCTTTCTTCAAAACGAGGTGGCGACTTTTCGGCCTTTGATACAATCAGCCCACCAAGGCTCAATTTTCTTTCACGACTGACTCCTCTGAGATCATCAATGCTGCCAGTCTCTTCTACAGAACTGACACTGATAGTTGTTTTACGTATTGGACTTGGCAATGCTGGAAACACATCATCTTTAGAGTCCATACTAAATCCACTTACTGAACTACTAGCATCACTTGCATTTCTGGTTTTTACCTTGAGGTGTAATAATTCCATAGATTCAGAATCAGTATAGTCAATAGTAGTTGTGTCATCACTAGCAGCATCAAAAGTTGACATCCTAATCTTACTACCTATACTAATATTATCCCCAGCACCTTCTCCAGAGTTAATCTGATTAACTGATATCAAATGGTCTCTTGTACTGATGCACGCACTTGCACTTTCTGTTGCCATGTGGGATAAACCTTGACCATCACATCTATCACTTTGAAATTCATGTGATCTCGGAAATCTGCTTTCTTCTGATGAGCTGTACAATTCATCGCTATGTAATGCAAATGACATCAAATGGCGTTGCTGAACAAGAGAAGCATTCATTCTATACTGCCTGACCTCTTCTCTTAAAATCTCCCTGTCTTCTTCAGCCAACAGAAGTCTTTCTCTGAGTAAGGCATTATCTTCATCAAGTTTTTTCAGAAGTTCCAAATATTTTGCATCTGCAGCAACATCTGGTACTGCCATTGCTTGATGCGACACAGTTGACCTTTCAACTCGTCCGAACCCAATATTATTTTCAGCATACACAAGAAGACTTTCTAACCTTTGACATCTATTCAAATTAGTATTTGCTTCTAGTTTACTTGTGTCAGCACTCATTTTCAACAATTTTTTCTCTTGTTTCAACCTAAAAATTTCATTTCGTGATTTTTTCAAGTTCTCTGTAGTTTTTGCAAGTTCCATTTCTAGTTTTTTGTTTACAGTTGTAAGATCATAATCGATGTCTTTGGCAAGTACCACCGAAATAGAGTTGTGCATATCTTTAGTATTTGGAAGCTCAGAATAATTGTCTGAAGAAATTCTGTCTGAAATTGTACCATTTCTGTCATGAAATTTACCTTCACTGCAAAATGTATTACCCTTTAAGTACCTATCACTTTCTTTTGTTGTTAGTTTCAATCGATAATTATCAGCAGTTAAATGTTCAACTTCTGCCTGCAGCCTATCAACAGATACCTTCAAACGGTCAATTGCTTTTTTATCATTTGTAGCTTCAGTTTTTATTATCACAGCCTCGCGAAATAATCTACGGTTTTCATTTCGTAGTACTTGAAGTTCCTGGACTAACTTGGGTATAACATCATTTGGACTGCCATTATCTTTTTCTTTAGTCTGAAGTTCTTGGATTAAGTAAAGCTCTCTCAGCTGTGATTGGTCAAGTTCTTTCTTAAGATGGCGACAAGCTTTAGCAATAGCATCAAGAACGTTCAATAGCTCATCTTCAGGGTTTATTGCTCTCCCGATTCGCCTTTGAATTGTTTGAACTGAAGCATAATGAAAATGTTTTATTTTACTTGATATTCAAAAACCACAAATGTTTTAGAGAAAAATTGCCTTTTTAATAAAATTTATTTCACTATTGCTGTAGTAAGTGGTCTCTACCAAATTTCCATCATGATCATCATCATTATTGTTTCTAAGAGATTAGAAAGTATCTTACCAGATCGGCCATCCATTTTTTCTTCATCTAGCTCAAAATCAAGTCTTCTTTCTTCCAGCATTCTTTCAATGTTCCTGGCAGCAGACATCTTGATATCAGGAGTGAAACTATCTGTTGGAGCAGCCTCAGGAAGAATAGCATTTGAACAAGTGTCTGAGTGCAATTGTTGGCATAAGCTGGTTTTGTGAGCTCGTGTGTCTTCTTCATCATTACCTTCCACGGACGTAACACCAAATTCGTTTTCATCAAGCATTCCGTCACAGCTTACATCCTTTCATAATTAAATAAAAGATAAAAATATTATAAGTATTAGTATAAGGAAAAAAGTTAAATATATTCAATGTTTCTATAATGTTATGGAATAAAGAGAATCCTATGAAAAATACAAATAATAAATAATAATATTAATGATAATGATAAAATGATGATAAAAATAAAAATGATGATGATTATTATGATAATAACAATAAAAACAATAGAAATAACATTCTCATTACCCAGGTGCCTGTATTAGACACCTATGGAACACATACTCAGCTCCCTTGTGATTATGTCATTCTAACCCTACCACTGCCCACAAAAGTCGACCAAATAAAAAATTTAAAAAAAACGAATCTGAGGATTCAACCCCTAACCTTATGTTTGAGAGCCCAAATGGCAACTGTTGTGCTGACTGCTCTAACAATTTATATTCCTAATAATCAGTTCGAAATTATCTAAAGTTCAGAATATAATATGTATAATTAGGTATGAATTCTCAGTTTCACAACTCAACATTGAACTTTACTAACCAACAGAGTATTCTGAACAATGTTGAAAATCATGAAATGTTGCCCTCTATTGAGGAACTTAAAGCTGTGACTGGTTGATGCTAAATTAAGTATCTGTTGCCACATACAAAAATAAATCTAAAGTCCACAATATGGTATGTATAATTAGGTATGAATTCTCAGTTTCACAATTCAATATTGAACTTTACTAACCAACAGAGTATTCTGAACAATGTTGAAAATTCGGGAACGTCGCCCTCTATTGAGGAACTTAAAGCTGTGACTGGTTGATGCTAAATTATGTATCTGTTGCCACATGCAAAAATAAATAATAATTAAAATGCATGTTAATAAAGAACATAAGACAATTAAATGAAAGTATATATTAGTAACTGATTATGATTTAGTAACAAGCATAATATTCAATAAGTGAATATCAATTGTTATAAATAAATTTAACTAACATGCTGTACCATAATATGTGACATGCTAACATTTTTGAAAAAATTATATTTAAGTTGAAAGATTAAAAGTTATCAGGTTTGATATTTCGCCTGCATTGCTCATATACTATTTGTATTAACCGACAAACATTTGAAATATATTACTAAGCACATTTTGGAACTGTTCAATGTATACATTTATGCTTTACTGTACAACTTTCTCATTATTAAATATAGAAAACTAATAAACCCAATAACTTATATATAAGACCAGTTCATTATACAATAAAATTATATATTGCTAATGGTACAATTAGGAACAACATAAAAGATAGATTTTGTGTACATGAAACAGAAATGTATTTAAAATAGCATTGACAAAATAAATAAAACAAGAATTACAATGTTACAAGTACAATGCCAATAGTAGTACAGTAATTGGTATTAATTGTGTTAATTGCATCTTAATTTTGTTATTTTACACTTGCAACTTCTAATAGTATTTGCCTACCTGAGCCATGCTCAAACCATGTGAACTTGCTGTAAGGAGAGGTAAGGAGGGTGATGACTCTAGTAACATAGAATTTAAATGGCCAACCTTGAAAATAATAAAAAGAATAACTGTGAAATATAGTAAAATACAAAAATTTGAAAAAACCAAACATCTTTTAGAGTAGCTGGGCATATCCCTAATTAACTGAATCCTTGCTGAGCTATGGTGCTCATATGGGCTGGAGCTTATCCCCAGTTTCAGGAAGCGTGATGTGAATGAAAGCGTGATGCGAATGAAAGCGTGATGCTCCCCCTGGGTGGGATGCTGGTCCACTGCTGGTTACTCCTAGCAATTTGGTGCAACATTGATACAGCTGGGTTGACTGAAGCACAATCTAATATGATCTTCATTGCCACAATAAAATTTAATAAAATTCCATATAGAATTAAATTATGCATATGATATAAATAAGCTATACATTCAGATTGCAAAAATCCATAGAATTAATACTTACCTTTCTGCGTAGAAGTGCAATATATATCATTAATGAATGTTCGTCAATACTTCCAGTTATAACATCCGATGGACTTTAATAAAATAAGGAAAAATAAAATAGATCAGAATTTCAATAGTAAATCTTGAATCTTAAAGACGAGGGCGGCATTTTATAATAAGAATAAAAAGGGTCAAAAGGTCAGTCTTTATTGGTTTGTTAAAAATTAAAAGAATCTCCAAGAAACAGGAATGAATGAAGTTGTATTAATAATATCAATTGTAAATCTTGAATCTTTTAGACGAGGAGGTCGCTTTCCAGATTAATACAAAACAAAATGGCTGCCTAACAATTCTTTCAGATCCACAAGACAGTTAAGTTATAATTATTCAAGATGAGTACACCTTTTATAGTGAAATTGTGAGTGAAATAAAAGCTGAAAATACCTGATCAGTGTTTTCACAAGTCCAAATTTGTCTTCGGCAGCAAGGAGTGCATTGGTCAAATTCACTACAAATACATCCTGAGAAAATAATTATTTCAGTTTATTTCCATTTGCTTGAAAAAACAAAGTTTAAGCTAAAGTCTGGAAAACCACTAAACTAAAAATTGTTATTGTTCAATCAAAATAAGGTATAGCTTACTCCCCATTAAACAGACCACGCCTCCTCTCCCACACCACCCCTCACTCAGGGAATAATACATGCTTAAAATTCCTGAGAATAATAGCTTAAAATGGCCCAAAATTGTACAGCCTTTTTAAGCGCCAGGGCTCCAAGGCCCCACCTGGGCTGCACCCAGAGCCTGCTGATCTCCGTACGGAACTGTCAGATCCTCGTCAAAAAGGTTAGACTATCCTGTATAAGCAGACTTCGGTGGAACCTCAAACAAGACATGTTAAAATACTTCAGTTTTAATATGAGGTTTGACAATAGCAAGTTGAATCCAGTATATAACCTATCAGGTTAAAGCTTATAATGTGGAGAACATGAATTGATTAAAAAGTCAATTTTCATTTTTTGGTCACTTATGAAGGTTTGGGATGGCAAACCGCGTACAGTATATGAAAACTATTATTTTGACTGCAGAAAATATAAGGGTCAGATGCAAAAATATAGGAAAGGTATTATTAATGGCACCATTAACTTATATATTATAAATTAGATACCTGTACATGTTAATATAAAATAAAGTTCTCACCTTTTTCTCCTCGGCAAGTGCAAACGGTACATACTTTCCAATTAAGGTAGCAAGTTTGTTGTTACCACAGAAACTGAACAATTTAGAAAATAAAAAATTAATCAACTCAATTATTTATACTATTAATATTTTTTTACTATTAATCAATATTTATTAATGAAAAAAAATCTTTAATATATAAGATTTTCATATATTTCCTATACACTTTGCATTGCAGTCTATATAAATATATACTAAAGACTACCAAATCAATTTAAAGTATTAAATTATGTCACCTTTAAACACAAAGGAAAAAAATAGGCAACAGACATATAGAACACTATCAACCATTACCTCGTCATTAAAACTTTTATTAATACGCATTCAGATCAATTATAGAGAGAATTAAAGAAAAAGATAGAAGGCGAACTAGTGTTTTTACTCTCTCTTGTTTGATTATTTATAGATTGGCTGTGTATTGTAAATATGCCTGCACTTGTGAAAGTTGATTCAACTAATAAATACAGAAATTTGTGTTTATACAATATGCTATTAATACTGCTACTATGCATGTAAAATTGATACAGTATCTTTATGTAAAACTTCTATTATTTACTTTTGACAATCAAAATTCATTGTATTGTATAATAAACAATATGAGTGAAAGTCTTAACAATTGCTGGTACAATACAAAATCTATGAAGCAAGAATTAGCATTGCATTTGTGTAAAATGCTGCAGTACCCTCACCATTGATTAAGGTTACTATGGACATCGACTTGTGCTTCTGGAACAACTTCGTTAAACCACTCCAGAAGTCTCTGCTTGCCAACACGTACGGTTCTTTGTATTAATGGTAAATCTGAAAATGAACACAAAACATTTAGAATACTTCAGCAAAAGAAACACACAAAAACAATCCAGCAGGATTTTTAGAGGTCCTGGAAAGACCAAAGATGGAGATGGCAAGATATCCTGCCATTTCCGAAGAGGATAAGGATGCTGATGATTATGACGATGTTGACAATGACAATACTGACGATAAAAATGATAATGACCTCTTGGATGATTATATATTTATAGGTCTTGGCCTGATTTCTAAGGTTCTCGCCTGGTCACCCCTTTCCCCAAGAAGGTTGTATGGTAGGGTGGCATTTCCAGAATTAAGTACAAATATAATTGTTTTTATTTTTATGGGGGGGGGGGTGGCTGACTGGCAAATTTCTAACCCTTGAATTTTTCTATGGTGTGTGCTCTAGTTTACATGCAGTTGTGAAAATATGTTTATTACAATATGTACTCTACACATTGAGAAAGTCAGAAAACTAGAGGAAATATTAGCTGAGGGACAGATTGATGGTAGCTACATCTTACCTGGTGAATGCACAGTGCAATGTAGAATAATAGCCCACATAACATCCAATGTGCTCTTAAGTTCCCCACTCACAATTGCTGTAGCAACAAAAGAACACCAACACAAATAAAGCTCACATAAAGACCTTAATGACAACAACCGAAAGAGTGTTGTAAAATGAAGAATAAAAGATACACACTAACATTTTAAGACTAACTGGATTAGGGATAACATTTAAACCACAGATGGTATGTTTTGCAGACAATCACTTAATAATCAATCAATTAATCAATAAATTCATTTATCACTTAAACAATTAATCTATCACACAAACTATTAATCAATCACTCAAATCAATTAATTAATCAATCAATCAATCACTCAATTAATAAATCTAGTCACTCTACCATTAATAATAATTGTCAACTTGTATAGCGCATATTGTAACCCCCGGATCACTGGATCAAGCACATATGGAATACACACTCAAGCCCCATGGGGGAATTCCATAATGTCGCAGCTGTATTCAACACAGGCTGTGTTTGAACCTACCAGGTACCCACCCACTTGTACTCCTGGGTGCAGAGAGACAACTGTAGATAAAGTGCCTTGCCCAAGGACACAAGCGACGTGCACAGCGAGAGTTTTGAACCCCCTACCTCAAGGTTGGGAGTCCAAGCCACAACAGATGTGCCAACCACTTCTACATTACTATGCATGACTGAATTGACAATCTGTTTTTTAAAGTGTTCTGCAAACCTGCTTGGTGCAGAAGTTTGGACACCCACTTTTGTGTTGCGACCCATAGTTTTGCGAAGCATGGCTCTAGATAAGGTGGGTCAGATGAAAGTGTAATTTGTGAAAAAATATTTAAAAAATTGGAAGACTTTTTGTGACCAATTAATTCAATACACCCTTTGACCATTCCGCTTTACAAAAATTTGGTAACACAGTTACAAACATCATTCAAACATTAAAATAATACAATAGAAACAACTAGACATAATCAAGTGCCGAGATAATAATAAACAGCCAGGGAATATGAAAGGTCAAAAAAATGAAAAAGTGATGTGAATATTTGGGTAGCTTGTATACTAGACACAGGTAAACAAATAAGCCAAATTAAGTGCTAGGATAAAAAAAAAAAAAAATACAGAAGAAATATATTTTGCAAGGATTTTAAGTGCTTTGTTATGCAGACAGGCATTCTTACCTTCTGCAGTTGACTTCAGCTTTACTTCATGTCGTTTTAGGAAGTTAAGAACCAAACTGACATTTGATAAAGGCTCCTGATTCTGGTAAATAAAAAGAAAATATACTTTTATTGAATCAATTAATATTTGTGAAGTTAGTGTTCGACCCACTAGGTACATACTTATAGTATGTTGGTAAGAGACAACTTGAACAAAAATGTTTGCCCAAGGACACAAGCAAAATGGACAGCAAGAGGTTGAACCCCCAAACCGCCACTCTACACCCTTCCCAATGGCAGTCAACACATTAACCTTATCTTTCCTCCCAGTAGTTGACAATATGCAAACATTTTCTGTTAAACAATCTACTATATTTCTGGTAGGACTGGTACCAGTTTGTGTGGTACTGATAATTAAGTTCAATAAAATAAAAAAATGTTGTGACATAGAGATAAGTGAATAATTAATGTTGAACTGTCCTTAAACAGAGCCTAAATGAAAGGGAAATCCTAACCAGCACAAGGGCCCCCTTAGTTGAAAATTTAACAAAAATGGTGAAAAGAAAATAGCATTGCATTCTAATTAAGTAGGTGAGTGCCATTTTTTACCATCTAGGGATGCCACAAACATAAAGTTTTGTACCAGGGTGGGGTTGAGGTAGTTTGGACCCTCTATCTGTAACATGTCCACACCGAGTAACATCGCCACACCCCCCCCCCCACCCCGCCCTCAATTTTTCTCTTACCGTAACCTCCTGGAATAGATGAGATGTTGTCAAGGCATCAAGCAGCTTACATAGAATCTTGCCATCACTTAGCTCATGCAATCCCCCAATCAGAATGCCTTCTTCGCACAGCAGACTATTTGCCCAATCTGTATACATCTGCAACAGTTAAGATTTATTCATAAAATTCCATTGTAAATATACTGCTATAAGTTTTTACTGATCAATATACACTGCATAATAATTACATAATTTCTGTTTATCACCAAACATATAAAGTCAAATGAACAAATTTACGTCCCCTTCCTTCCCCCTCCCCCCACATGGGCAAGCATTGTTCCCCTTGCCATCAGAAGCCACACTAGACTGACGGATTAAAAATATTAATTTGAAAAATTATCAGAAACAAACAACCAATAAAAGTGATGAAGTTACTTTAGAGCAAAATATTTGCAAAAACAAAAATAATATTTATGTTAAAAACACTTTAATCTTGTCTTAAACAGCTCTGTCAGTGTTTATATATTTACAACACTTTGAATTTGTTGATTATTTGCCAAAATCTTGAAATGACTTGGATTGATAATACTCAACCAACTTTGAATTTAATTAAATTGCAACTTGTAGTAAAGAGGTAAGTTCATTAATTTGTCTACAATAATTTAAAATATAAGAATGTATGCAGTCTATTAATTAAACACTGCAGAACAGAGTGAACAGCCATTACTTTATTCAGATACGTACTGTAGCATACCATCCTAAAAACAGCATCAATGCCAAAAAAAAAAAAAGAAAACTGATTTTATAATTTATTCATATTCCCCACATTATAAACTTTAAAATGATGTGTCATTTACTGGAATTGACATTTGCCAAGATATGAGTAAGCATATTTTTTCGCTGTACTAATTACTAACAAATAGCGAGAGTATGCTGGTTTTAGGATGGCATGCCTTGATTGTCAAATGATTTTGACTCACTTTGTGTAAAATTGTATTCAAATTACATCGTGCTGCTAATTGTAGAGAGGTAAGCTCATTAATTTTCCTACAAAACTGTCAAATAAAAATATGGACAGTGTTTTTAAATATCCTACCTGCAGAACAGAGTTAAAAGCCATTGTTTTATTCAGCTGTGTACATTAATTTGCCAGATCAAAGCAATTTATCCTTGTTGTTAATGCCAAACTGTAAAAATGCGTGGAAGCCATCATTCAGGAATCTATGCCCTTTGACCTTTCATAATGATCTGCATCCTGTCAACAACTATGACTTCCTGATGAGATCAATTTAAGCATCAAGAGGCTGAAATATACAATAAAATATCATGAAATAAAAACACCTCTGAATACAAACTGAAGTTGTTATTCCAATAAATAAATATCCACTTTTCTTTATTTGAGTAGATTATTTACATCAGACATTGGCAATTATTTGTACACTGTATGATTCACATATAGCCAGCTCATTTTTCTGTCGATAAGTCATCAAGAACATGTATAAATTGAATACATCTGTAAAAAAAATACAAGTGTGTTGGCTACACAACAGTCAAACGGAAATGTTGTGTCTGACTGTGAATAGTTTCTACGACAGCATAATGTCTTATTTTATTTAAATTGTTTTCTTGAATCATATCTCTGCTGAAATTTAGACTCCGGAAGAAGACATTATTCTGTAGGAAAATACTATAGTTAAATGTAGCCTAAATTTAAGTTCCTATTTCAACAAAATAATAATTTTATATTTGTATACGTTTATGGCATTGATATTATTAAAAAGCCTAATTTCTTGTTCCCTAAATTGATATTTGATAATGCCAGTATAAGTAGGCTATATTTGAACAATATTTATTGATAAAAAAAATATATAATAAATTTAATGTATAACAAAATAAATTTATCAATATTATATATATTATTTGACCTGATATATCATAATTATAGTGACAATATAAATTTATAATAAAAATGCAACAAACAGTAACAATAACATTTTATTTTATTTTAAATGTGAGAACCTAATCTTCTTTCAATAAAAATTGAAAGTCAAATAATAATCAAAATGTACTCTAACAACAGTATTTTTGTAGATATTAACAATTGATAATATTTATAATTAATAAATATAACAATACAATTAAGTAATATTTGATTTAATATTAGAATCATTTACCATTAAAGAAAAAAAAACAATAATAACATAGAAAATATTTAAATAATAATTTAATATAAAATACTATTAATAAAGATGAAAAAATAAAATATGAAAAAAAGTGACAAAAAATAATGCATTAATAATGAATAAAATAAAGATTAAAATACCAGAAAATTCTGTCAATGGCATACTATATGGTACACTTCAAGCACTGTTTATTGAAAGGCAAACAAAGCCAAAGAAAGTGTTTACTGAGGTGAATTGATAGTACGCTTTATGTAGAACAGAAGGCAATATAATAAACCCCTAGCAAAGTCAATATAACTGAGTGCTGTACAACTTAACAACTGTTTGCTAGTAAATATTGATATAAACTGAAACATAAAGAGGTTTGCTGATAGGAATCACAAATAGCATTCTTACAGTACTGTATATATAGTGTAGAAGTGTACTGGCGCTTTAAAATAATCTCAGTTTAAATATTGCTTGTCAGACCTACTGTAGTCTACAGGCAGCACTCAATGTACTGTACTGTGTACATCAAATGCAAAGTGTGCTGTCATGAAATTCAATTGTATTGTGGCCTTGTTCATGGTGGTTACATTTATCAATACTTATGTCACGAATTCTGCAATTTTACCCTGAAACTTTCATTAGATCCTGAATGAAATCACGAAAGCTGTCTAAAAGGCATGGGTAGACTTTTAATACTGTTTCTTACAATTACAATGCAAACCAACTGCTGTCTGCTCATAACTGATGTATGTTGCAATCAAAATTTGGGTTGCAACATTTTTTTGAGAATTTTCATGCTATTCAAAATGCAAAGTTTCAATAACTAAACAATTTGATTTTTATTGGAAAAACTGGTGAGATGTACATATTCTAAACTATATCCAAGATTAGAATAATTAGAGGCCTAAGGGCCTGGCCTGGCCGCCCTAGCCTAGGCTAGGCCTTCGTCAGGCAAGCTGCTGACCATAGAGTCAGCTCTGCTGATGAAGAAGGGGGCAAAAAAAAGAGATCTAGGCCTTAGATGCCTAGCACATTCCTAATATAGTTAGGGCAGGGCTAGGCTAGGCTAGGAATGCCTTCCGGATACACAGTGCGCCTTGGGCCTACCCAAGGGGCATAGGCTTAGCCTATCTAGGGCACCACTCTAGGGAGCCTACTTTAGGCTACTACTAGGCCCACTAGGGAGTATGGTCGGAGCGGCCGCAAGGGAAAGCGGCCGCGAGTCGATACGCAGCAATTTGTATGGAGCGCCAAGCGTGCAGTATGCAAAATGTATGTTGGACAATGGGCATCAGAGTTCGATATTAATATTTTTTTAATCAATTATCAAATTAATTGAAATATTAAATTCAATCTGTTTGTGTCCTGAAAGAAATATAAAATAAAAGTTCATCATACACAAAAATCCGAACTGATAACATATAATAAATATCAATATACAGATCCTATGTTTAAATCCGTTCGTGTTCTGAAAGAAATATAAAATAAAAGTTCATTATACATAAAAATCCGAACTGATAACATATATAATAAATATCAATTTAATCATATCATAATTCAATTGTCATGTACGTACAAAAATGTTTCGATCTGTAATCAATCTGTAAACAAATCGATCTTTAATTAACTAGGGCCAAGAAGACTACGAGAAATAAAAAATATTCAATTATGAAAATTATACATTGATTTCTCTTCATTTTGAAACACTTGCCTGATGAAATAAAACCGAGTGAATACTAGAATTGACGAGTACGATATGAACGATATTGACCAACGGTATACAGTACCGTATCCCAATCAATCGGTATAGCCCTACTGGCGTTCCATACATTTTGAGCGCGGCCGCTTTCCCTTGCGGCCGCTAACTCCCCTACGAGTTAGTACTACTACTACTAGGCCCTAGCTAGGCCTAGAGTAATAATAATACTACTAAGGACACACGACCGTCGACGTCCAGAACCTAAGCCTAGTTAGTAACATATTTATTATTATTTAAATAGATGATGTCTAACTGTACGGTTAACAAATAAATAATGGTACGGATGGCTGTATTGGCCAATAAATCATATCAAACCAAGCAATTTCTTTAACTTGCCTTCGTTCTCGAAACAAAGAGAAAACCAGGCACCGACAAATCACATCAGATCGCTAGATCGCTAGCTATAATGGTACATGTCACCGGTCGAGTCTATACGCACGTTGACCAATGAACCATAACAGGGAAGTCACCCAATCAAATCAAAGCACAGTCTGTAATTGGTTTTTTTTACCACAAGTCGAAGAAAAGACAACATCTTTTAAAACATTGAGTAACCAATGGCCAGTTCAAATTTAACATATTTATCCTATAAAAAACAAATTCATAATAATAATAGTTCATTCATTCTTTTATATTTTTATATTATATATATATAGGCATATATATATATAGGTCTATATAGTTGTCCTCACACTGAGGAAGAACACAGGAGTGTTTGAAATATTTGTGAATTAATAAATTATATTGCTTCTAATATGTCTACAACTCATAGCTGTTTTATATTGCATAT